TCCAGTGTTTTGTAAAACAAAAATAGAATTGTCCTAAGAGAGAGAGAGAGAGAGAGAGAGAGAGAGAGAGAGAGAGAGGCATGGAAGGGTCTATCGATCAATCTGGTTCATTTTAACTTCCGTTAAAGGCTCGGACATCGGTCTCGTTACCGCCCGACCGAGCAGCCTCTCAGCTGGCTGATCCCGCTCCTTATAGAGCAGCGGGAACAAGACAGTAATAACAGATGTTAGCAGCGAAGCTGTGCTCTTCATTTGTAATCATGCGAGAGGACGTAAAGTAGAGAGCTGGGTCTGTGATTACCGGGCGGAGCTCTAAGATACGTGGAGGCGGACAACTCGTGTCTCGGGTAGCTGTTACCTGGCCTGCTGGTGGTGATTCATTCCTGGCAGGTGTTGATGCTCAGCCCTGAGATGAACAAAGGTCTCACGGGAGCAGAGTACTTACTCCAGTGGAAATAAGTCACTTCGTCTGACTTAATTTACACACATGTTACTATGTATAAATTATCTAGGCTCACACTGCCGACATGTGTAGGTGAGCAGACACAGTGAATACACTGTATAAACAACCCACATTGCTGGAGATATTACATCCGTACAGTGATATTTATTCCGAAATTTATAGTTTTTTTTTTTACAACTAATGTTTATATTGGAGAGGATTTATTTTTTTCGTCGAAACCTCTAAGTTTTCACCCCTAATTGTAGGTTCTGAAATTATTCCAGCTCGACATCAATATTCTGGCACATTAAAGTTATGTTGAAATGATGTAAAAATTATTACAAGAAAATCACTTCATATGAAAGCAAAAGACTCGGCAGGAGATGCAACATTCCCCCGATGAAAAGCAGGGGCGCCACGAGTACACTGAGAGACAACACATTAAGTGTCTGGGGCCCAAGACTGTTCAGTTGCCTCCCAGCATACATAAGGGGTATTACCAATAGACCCCTGGCTGTCTTCAAGGCACTGGACAGGCACCTAAAGTTAGTACCTGACCATCCGGGATGTGGTTCGTACGTCAGCTTGCGTGCGGCCAGCGGTAACAGCCTGGTTGATAAGACCCTGATCCACCATGAGGCCTGGTTTCAGACCGGGCCGCGGGGGCGTTGACCCCCGAAACCCTCTCCAGGTAAACTCCAGGTTGATAAATTAGACACATGTGCAACTCTTGGGTATCTTTATTGAGGAAACGTTTCGCCACACAGTGGCTTCATCAGTCCATACAAAGGAGAATCTTGAAGAACAGGAGGAGAATGAGGTAATCAGTCCCTCAACCTTGAGTCGATGTGGTCAGTCCATCAATCTTGAATAGAATACAGCATATGTGCAGAGAAGCAGCTTATAAACCGTACGCAGGAGAGGTGCAGCAGTCGTAGGTGGTGTCACATTTGTTCAATGTGGAAGTAGGTCGTGCCCAAGGGTTAGGCAAGCGAAGAATTCCCAAGTATTAAGATCCCAAGAAGTTGCAGTATCTGACAGGATTGTAGATGAATGGTTCAGGGAACCTAACCCTTGGGCACGACCTACTTCCACATTGAACAAATGTGACACCACCTACGACTGCTGCACCTCTCCTGCGTACGGTTTATAAGCTGCTTCTCTGCACATATGCTGTATTCTATTCAAGATTGATGGACTGACCACATCGACTCAAGGTTGAGGGACTGATTACCTCATTCTTCTCCTGTTCAAGATTCTCCTTTGTATGGATCTGTCCATACAAAGGAGAATCGTTTCCTCAATAAAGATACCCAAGAGTTGCACATGTGTCTAATTTACCAACGTGTCGGTTCTCTGAACCATTCATCTAAACTCCAGGAAAACATTCGGTACCAGTAGTTTGTCCGTGATATGGTATTTAGGTAATCCCTTGTATTTGTCCCTGATATTGTATTTAACCTCTGGTATTGCATTAGTTAACCCCAAATATTGTATTTAGTTAGCCCCTGATATTGCATTTAGTCGATATCAACACTGGTAAAGTATTTATTTAATTGTTCCTTAGATAACTTATTGCATTCAAGAATAAGTTACAATATTGTAACTGGAACAATTCACAGCTGAACTATAATTAAAAAAAAAACTCTAGAAGACGTTTCGATTCGTCCAGTATCTTCAATCCAAGACGGAGAGAAACGTCATCGAAAGTTCCCAAAGTAAAAGTTTATTGTAAGTTTATTTTACTTGTGCTTACTGATCATTTAACTGTTTATGCATAATTACACCGAGTTCCTCAACCCACCATATTGCATCTTCTTCCTCTGAGTTCCACACCGTTAATGAGTGCATCAGATAATCTCCTTGCACTTAAAATAGCTCTTCTTATCCCAGTCTCTCAAATTTCTCCAGTATCTTCAAAACCTCTTATGAGAAAACAGGTTTATTGTCTCGAGAGAATTTTTTTCACCCACTTCATTGTTGAAGAAAGATATCTTCATCTGACTGCACTCTCTGTAGTTTTTCTCTCTAGTTTAACTCTCGTTGATGTGAAAGTACACAAATAACCCTTTCTTATGTTATTGATGTGAAGGTGTCTGTGACCTATACAGGTGTCAAGTTGTGTTTTATGAATAATCATTATCATTATGTAATTTGGGGACCAAAAATGATTAGCACATTATTTTCACTGACGTTACGGGCTTTTACTGTTTTGATGTTTAACAATCTTCCAACCTGGTTATGAAATAATAAATAATAAATGTAAATTTCTTATAGGTATGAAGCCTAGCGTTCTTATTTTTCTTAGTCATAATGCTTTCTTACAGCTGTTACATCTACCATTAATTTTCTTACAACTACTACCCCGGGAATGTTCTTTATTTCCCCGGAAGGTGCTTTACTACCCAGGAAGGTGCTTTACTACCCCAGGAAGGTGCTTAACTACCCCAGGAAGGTGCTTTACTACCCCAGGAAGGTGCTTTACTACCCCAGGAAGGTGCTTTACTACCCCAGGAAGGTGCTTTACTACCCCAGGAAGGTGCTTTACTACCCAGGAAGGTGCTTTACTACCCCAGGAAGGTGCTTTACTACCCCGGAAGGTGCTTTACTACCCCAGGAAGGTGCTTTACTACCCCGGAAGGTGCTTTACTACCCCGGAAGGTGCTTTACTACCCCGGAAGGTGCTTTACTACCCCGGAAGGTGCTTTACTACCCCGGAAGGTGCTTACTACCCCGGAAGGTGCTTTACTACCCCGGAAGGTGCTTTACTACCCCAGGAAGGTGCTTTACTACCCAGGAAGGTGCTTTACTACCCCAGGAAGGTGCTTTACTACCCCAGGAAGGTGCTTTACTACCCAGGAAGGTGCTTTACTACCCAGGAAGGTGCTTTACTACCCCAGGAAGGTGCTTTACTACCCCAGGAAGGTGCTTTACTACCCCAGGAAGGTGCTTTACTACCCAGGAAGGTGCTTTACTACCCCAGGAAGGTGCTTTACTACCCAGGAAGGTGCTTTACTACCCAGGAAGGTGCTTTACTACCCCAGGAAGGTGCTTTACTACCCAGGAAGGTGCTTTACTACCCAGGAAGGTGCTTTACTACCCCAGGAAGGTGCTTTACTACCCCAGGAAGGTGCTTTACTACCCCAGGAAGGTGCTTTACTACCCAGGAAGGTGCTTTACTTCTCAGGAAGGTGCTTTACTACCCAGGAAGGTGTTTTACTACCCCAGGAAGGTGCTTTACTTCTCAGGAAGGTGCTTTACTACCCAGGAAGGTGTTTTACTTCTCAGGAAGGTGCTTTACTTCTCAGGAAGGTTTACTACCCAGGAAGGTGCTTTACTACCCCAGAAAGGTGCTTTACTACCCCAGAAAGGTGCTTTACTACCCCAGGAAGGTGCTTTACTACCCCAGGAAGGTGCTTTACTACCCCAGGAAGGTGCTTTACTACCCCAGGAAGGTGCTTTACTACCCCAGGAAGGCACTTTGAATGGACGCCTCAGAAACAAGTGGAGAAGAACATTCCTGGGAAATATTGACTGAAACCTGAAGTTTCAGTTCAGTAATGCTTCCTGACAGGTTCTCGTGAGATCTAGTTTTACTATTTGTTTGGTGGGGCAGAAAGATGAATGAGAGGATGGGATATAAACCTGGAGTCGGAGAGAAAGTTTAGTGATGGAAACAGAGAAACATTGATAACGACGTGGATAGTAAAGGCGAAACAGAAACTAGAACACTGATTTCGTGGGTCAGAAAAAATGGGGATAATTCTAAGTTAACGAGCGGACTCTGTAAACGACCAGCTACCCTTGTTGTGGCTAACTTGAGCCTAAATTCTTACATGTATTATTGACATTTGTGCTGGAGTCTTCACACAGGACGGACACATAGATATAACAACAGTGGTAATAGAATTCGATTCCATTTAACTGTTTCCTTCTTTTTTTCAATTCTCGCTAAGTTTACCAGTTTGTAGTGAACGGTCTATGTTAAGGGTGTGGCAGTTTTGCCTTATATATACCTAGTTGTGGTCCACCAGTAACAGAAGACTCGGACACGGTCACATACCGTACTGTCTGCAATAACGATAGCACCATCTGTAATACTAAAAGTAATCATTTCATGATCTAAGAAATAATATCTATGCAAAACGTGGTAATTTTAACTAAAGCAAATCTAAAACAGAAAAACCTTAGCAAATCAATCGTATCACGGTACTGGTGGGGTGTGAACCCATGGCGAGTGTGGCTTAAAATTCCAGGTCAGTTTATTTGCAATCGTGTTATTACGATTTCGTGAATCATATATCAAACAGATGATTGTTTGTCGGCTCCTGTTTCATATTGCAGCTGTAAGAGCCACCAGTTGCTATTAGATAATCACATCTCTCTCATTTTCAGTCCCCTATGGTTCCGGAACACGCTTTGAAAACCTATGGTCTAGACTCCAGGCTAAGTATTAAGTCTTCGTACAAGAACCTGCGTATACATAATGTCAGGGAAATATATAATATTTTTTTGTTTAATTCACGCGAGTGTATAAGTGACAGTGTTTTCATTGCAGCTCCTGAGATCATCCTGTATGAAGCCATCACCACCAAGACCGACATGTGGTAAGTAGCACGACACCCACTCTGTCTTATCTGTGTACTAGTGCGCGTTTATAACGAGGTGATTCCTATACATGTCATGTGTCAGTGGTGAGACGGTGAAGGCTAAAGTTAGTTCGTTACCATTTTGTTCTAGGCACATGTCGATTAAACACTAGGCCTGTTGTATACACGTGCGTGCACGTATGCGCGCGCCGTGCGCAATGTCGATTGTACCACAATGTGTGGGGATGTGGAATGTGTGGTGTATTTTTGGTGTTTAGTGTAGTGTCTGGTGTGCGGTGATTATCTAACTAAGAAGCAGAGCTCTGGTTGTCGGCTATCATTATTATTTTCATTTCAAATTTGTCTTAATAAGGAGCGACTTACAAAAGTCGACTGACCCAGATGTCTACTGACTGCTACGTGAATAAAAACATCAGATGGCCGCAGACTTGACCCAAAGTCTTGACGAAATATCACATGGACGCACTTCATAATTTTCCACTGTACCACATACTTGACCATTGTACTATATAATTGACCATTGCACACATAATTTACCACTGCGTCACATTATTGACCACTGCGCCACAATTTACCACTGCGCCACATAACTACTAAACCACATAATTTATTACTGCACCATATACTTGACCACTGCATTACATAATATATGTGGTGCAGTGAGCACCACTCGACGTGCTGGACACTGCACCACATACATGACTACTGTACCACATACTTGACCATTGCAACATATATTTGACCACTGTACCACATACTTGGACACTGCACCACGTACGTGACCATTGCGCCACATATTTTACCACGGCACCTCATACTTGACCACTTCACCACATATTTCACCATTGCACCACAATTATAATCAAATAATAAAGCTCTAAACCGACAAGGGTCATGCAGCACCACATAAGTACTATACCACATACTTGACTGCTTTACCACATGCCTGTTGCACCACACAATTGCTACACATGACTATTGCGCATTACTGCACATGACTGCTACAAATCACTACACATTACTGCAGATTACTACATATGAACACTGCAACACAAAATTGATAATTATATGTAACTACATGACCACTGCACAGATTGCACCATATTATCGCTGCACGTGACCAGTGCTGCGAGTCCTGTCTTGGTTACACACACACACACACACACACACACACACACACACACACACACACACACCCACCAGCCACACAAATCGTGAGGGTCACGCGGTTTGAGTGTTTGGTGGTAATTCTGACTGTGCCATAAGGAAAGTGTGGGGGTAACTGCTCACGCATAGAGTGATATAATCAGCTTAAGCCGGAAAAAAGAAATTATAGGTTCAGGAAAGAAAAGCAAGGAAATAGTGATAGTGTTTATGCGGGAAGGTAGCTGGAAGCTTAGCATAAAAGTGTGCATAATAACGCGTTAATTTTGAGAATAAGTGGATCAGACCAGGGGAACATATGATATTGGGTAATCAGTGAGTGAAAAAATTAGATAGACTAGAGCGCAAGTATACAGGAGTTAGTGAAAAATTACCGAACAGCACAAGCATTCATACGACCAGAGACGACATCCCTCACACTGCACGCAAGTAATATTCACTATAGTGCAGGACACCATTAGCAATGGGCACCTCCCACTATAGATTAGAATAAGCAGCATTACTGCATTTAATAACATTTTTAGTTACGATAACACACAATATAGATATATATGGGATGCTACACCTAGCTACAGAATTGAACGTAATTTTAGGCACACAAGATAGTACAGTGGAACCAAAAGATTGGGAACATATGCAAAACATATGTAGTACATACGAGGGAAATAAGGACTGCTTACATAAAAGCACGCATACAACACACACACTAGGTGAGAACAGGATCTGCGTTAGGCACTTGAATAGCTGTAGCGCGTACACACACACACACACACACACACAGATTTCACACCTTTATGTAATTACCTTACCTTCCATTTCTTCTCTCTGTCTCTTCTCTCTTCCTCTCTCTCATCTTCTTATTCCTCTTCTCCTCTCTCTCTCTCTCTCTCTCTCTCTATCTCTCTCTACTCTTATTGTCTTCCTCTCTCTCTCTCTATTCTTCTCTCTCTCTTACTCTTTCGTCTCCCCTCTCTCAATCTTTCTCTCCCTTCCTCTCTCTCTATTCCTCTCTCTCTTCCTCTCTGTCCTTTCTCTCTCTTCCTCTCTGTCCCTTTCTCTCTCTCTCTCTCTCTTTTCCTTCTCTCCTCTCTCCCTATCTTCCCCTTCTCTCCTCTCTTCTCTCACTCTCTCCCTTTTCCTTTTCACTCTCCCCCTCTCTCTCCTTCTACCTTTCCCTCCTCTCTCTCTCTCTCTCTCTCTCTCTCTCTCTCTCTCTCTCTCTCTCTCTTTTTTCCTTTACTAAAAAAAAAAAAAAAATGGTTGGGACTCGTAGGAATCAGGGATCAGATGACAAAGGTATTGGTAGGGAGGAATGGATGGAGGAGCAGTGGAGAAGGATGGAGCAAGAATGGGAGAGAAAATTAGGAGAGCTTTCTGAAAAATGGAGAAAGAGCTCTCTGCGAAATGGGAAAAGAGGTTGGAGAAGGAGACGAAGAAATGGGAGGCACAAGTCGAAGCTGCAGTAGACAGGGTAAGGGTCCTAGAGTTTGAGGTAAACAGGCTGAAGCAAGTCTCAGGGGCAGTGACCAGAGAAGACACAGCATATGAAGCTGAGAGGATGAACAGGAAGGAAGGAGATATGAATTATGCTAAGGTCATATCAGCCTGCAAAGAAGGGTCAGGGAGTAAAAGGAAAGAGCAGCTGGGTGCAGATAAAGAGGGAGATAAGTCGAATGCTGAGGCACAACCATGCTACCAAGAGCCACTGGAAAAATCAAGGGAGAAAATGACCATATACAGACAGGAACCAGAGTCACAGAGGAAGAGGCAATGGGAGGAGGAAAGGGCAAAATCAGTGTTTATCCATGGGCTTCGGGAGAGAGAGGAAAAGACACACACTGAAAGACGGCAGGAAGAAAGGAGATTGGGAAAATCATCACGGAAATAGGGGGAGAAGACATGGACGAGATTGTAAATTTTCAGAGAATAGGGGGGTACGTGAAGGGGAGAAACCGACCGATCAAGATGATTCTCAGGACAGAAACAGTGAAGGAACAGGATCCTCCAAGAGAAACCAAGGTTGAAAAACTCGGAAGAGTACAAGAAGGTGTTCCTAGACAGAGACAGAACACAAACAGAGAGACAGAGCTGAGGGAGAGGACAAAAAAAGCGAAAGGAGATAGGAAAGGAAACAAGGATGGAACCAGCAGAGGTCAGTCAGAGCAGAACAGAGAAGCAAGGGCAAGCACACACACAACTATCCTCAGAACCCCACAACCTATCACACCATCCCAACACACACTACAATCCATACCCACAGCTTCCACCCAACCCCCAATCATAGAATCCCACAGTAAGCTACCAGGTCTCCCACCCCCACAGGCCCCCCAAACCACAGTATTGGAAAGGAAACTGAAGGTATGGTACACAAACGCTGATGGAATAACAAACAAGTGGGAGGAGTGGCACGAAAGAGTCAAAGAGACATCACTGGACATCATAGCGCTCACAGAAACCAAGCTTACAGGTATGATAACAGATGCCATCTTTCCAACGGGATACCAGATCCTGAGGAAAGACAGAAGGAACAGGGGGGGTGGAGGAGTGACTGCTGATCAAACACCGATGGAATTTTGATGAGCTGGAGAGAGGAGACAGCGGAGAAGAAAGTGATTACATAGCGGGAACGCTTTACTCTGGAGGTCCCAAGGTGGTAATAGCAGTGATGTATAACCCACCACAGAACAGCAGGAGACCAGGGCATGAGTATGACGAGAGCAATAGAGCAATGGTTGACACACTGGCTGCAATGGCCAGCAGAGCTCATGCATGCAGGGCAAAGCTCCTGCATGGGCGACTTTAACCACAAGGAGATCGACTGGGAGACTTGGAGCCACATGGGGGCCAAGATACATGGAGGGCTAAGATAATGGAGGTGGTACTGGAAAACTTCATGTACCAACACGTAAGGGACACTACAAGAGAGAGGAGAGGATGTGCCAGCAAGACTGGACTTAGTATTCACCTTGAGTAGTGCAGATATTGAGGACATCACATATGAATGACCCCTTGGGGCCAGCGATCATGTGGTTTTGAGCTTCGAATACACAGAGCTACAAAAGGAAGGGGAAGCAGGAAGGCCAGGACAAATGAAGCCAAACTACAGGAAAGGGGACTACACGGGAATGAGGAACTTCCTGAACGAGGTTCAGTGGGACAGAGAACTGGCAGGGAAGCCAGTTAATGAGATGATGGAATATGTAGCAACAATATGCAAGGAGGCTGGAGAGAGGTTTGTACCCAAGGGAAACAGGAATAATGAAAAAGCCAGGATGAGCCCATGGTTCACCCAAAGGTGCAAGGAGGCAAAAACCAAGTGTGCTAGGGAATGGAAGAAATATAGAAGGCAAAGGACCCAGGAGAATAAGGAGAGCAGTCGTAGAGCCAGAAACGAATATGCACAGATAAGAAGGGAGGCCCAACGACAATATGAAAACGACATAGCAGCGAAAGCCAAATCTGTCCCGAAGCTGTTATACAGCAACATCAGGAGGAAAACAACAGTCAAAGACCAGGTAATCAGGCTAAGGAAGGAGGAGAGACAACAAGAAATGCCCGTGAAGTATGTGAGGAAGTCAACGAGAGATTCAAAGAAGTGTTCACAGAGGAGACAGAAGGGGCTCCAGAGGGGGGACGGAGAGGTGTGGCACATCACCAGGTGCTGGACACGGTACACACAACCGAGGAAGAAGTGAAGAGGCTTCTGAGTGAGCTAGATACCTCAAAGGCAATGGGGCCAGATAACATCTCTCCATGGGTCCTGAGAGAGGGAGCAGAGGCGCTATGTGTACCCTTAACAACAATATTCAATACATCTATCGAAACAGGGAGATTGCCTGAGGCATGGAAGACAGCAAATGTAGTCCCAATCTTTAAAAAAGGAGACAGACATGAAGCACTAAACTACAGACCAGTGTCACTGACATGTATAGTATGCAAAGTCATGGAGAAGATTGTCAGGAGAAGAGTGGTGGAACACCTAGAAAGGAATGATCTAATCAACAGCACCCAACATGGTTTCAGGGACGGGAAATCCTGTGTCACAAACCTACTGGAGTTCTATGACAAGGTAACAGCAGTAAGACAAGAGAGAGAGGGGTGGGTGGATTGCATTTTCTTGGACGCGAGGTGTTGACGTCCACACAAGAGATTAGTGCAAAAAACTGGAGGACCAAGCAGGGATAACAGGGAAGGCACTACAATGGATCAGGGAATATTTGTCAGGAAGACAGCAGCGAGTAATGGTACGTGGCGAGGTGTCAGAGTGGGCACCTGTGACCAGCGGGGTCCCACAGGGTCAGTCCTAGGACCAGTGCTGTTTTTGGTATTTGTGAACGACATGACAGAAGGAATAAACTCTGAGGTGTGACTGTTTGCAGATGACGTGAAGTTGATGAGAAGAATTCATTCGATCGAAGACCAGGCAGAACTACAAAGGGATCTGGACAGGCTGCAGACCTGGTCCAGCAATTGGCTCCTGGAGTTCAATCCCACCAAGTGCAAAGTCATGAAGATTGGGGAAGGGCAAAGAAGACCGCAGACGGAGTACAGTCTAGGGGGCCAGAGACTACAAACCTCACTCAAGGAAAAAGATCTTGGGTGAGTATTAACACCAGGCACATCTCCTGAAGCGCACATCAACCAAATAACTGCTGCAGCATATGGGCGCCTTGCAAACCTCAGAACAGCATTCCGACATCTTAATAAGGAGTCGTTCAGGACCCTGTACACCTGTACGTTAGGCCCATATTGAGTATGCGGCACCAGTTTGGAATCCCACACCTAGCCAAGCATGTAAAGAAATAGAGAAAGTGCAAAGGTTTGCCACAAGACTAGTCCCAGAGCTAAGAGGTATGTCCTACGAGGAGAGGTTAAGGGAAATCAACCTGACGACACTGGAGGACAGGAGAGATAGGGGGGACATGATAACGACATACAAAATACTGAGAGGAATTGACAAGGTGGACAAAGACAGGATGTTCCAGAGATTGGACACAATAACAAGGGGACACAGTTGGAAGTGAAGACACAGATGAATCACAGGGATGTTAGGAAGTATTTCTTCAGCCACAGAGTAGTCAGGAAGTGGAATAGTTTGGGAAGAGATGTAGTGGAGGCAGGATCCATACATAGCTTTAAGCAGAGGTACGATAAAGCTCATGGTTCAGGGAGAGTGACCTAATGGCGACCAGTGAAGAGGCGGGGCCAAGAGCTTGGACTCGACCCCTGCAATCTCGACTAGGTGACTAGGTGAGTACACACACACACACACACACACACACACACACACACACACACACACGAGCGAGTTTGTGAGTCAGTCTCGAAAATATTTTTTTATATATCGCCTCTGTGTAAGCTGTATCTTCTCTATCACAAAATAATAATATTTATGGTTCGTGCAGAGCCCCACGTAGAAGGAACTGAGAACCAGTTTTGTTGTTCTCCTGGTCGCCTTCCCCATCCCTCCCTCTATTTATCTCCCTCCATCCCAACTCCTCCATCCTATGTGACAGAATATAACAGAGGAATATAGATAGCGGTTCTTCATATAATGTTACTCATATACAGAGTAAGGTAAGTCTTACTACACCGCGGGTATTCACACCATATAGGTGTACACTGCGGGGGTACCCGCACACTGTGTCCCTCCATGTAACTAGCCGCACGCTGGTGTCCCTCCATGTAACTAGCCGCACAGTGTCCCTCCATGTAACTAGCCGCACAGTGTCCCTCCATGTAACTAGCCGCACAGTGTCCCTCCATGTAACTAGCCGCACAGTGTCCCTCCATGTAACTACCTGCACAGTGTCCCTCCATGTAACTAGCCTCACTGTGTCCCTCCATGTAACTACCTGCACAGTGTCCCTCCATGTAACTAGCCGCACAGTGTCCCTCCATGTAACTAGCCGCACAGTGTCCCTCCATGTAACTAGCCGCACAGTGTCCCTCCATGTAACTAGCCGCACAGTGTCCCTCCATGTAACTAGCCGCACAGTGTCCCTCCATGTAACTAGCCGCACAGTGTCCCTCCATGTAACTAGCCACACAGTGTCCCTCCATGTAGCTAGCCGCACAGTGTCCCTCCATGTAACTAGCCGCACAGTGTCCCTCCATGTAACTAGCCGCACAGTGTCCCTCCATGTAACTAGCCGCACAGTGTCCCTCCATGTAACTAGCCGCACAGTGTCCCTCATGTAAACTAGCCGCACAGTGTCCCTCCATGTAAACTAGCCGCACAGTGTCCCTCCATGTAACTAGCCGCACAGTGTCCCTCCATGTAACTAGCCGCACAGTGTCCCTCCATGTAACTAGCCGCACAGTGTCCCTCCATGTAGCTAGCCGCACAGTGTCCCTCCATATAACTAGCCACACACAGTGTCCCTCCATATAACTAGCCACACACAGTGTCCCTCTATATAACTTGCGTCACAATGCTAGTGTAGGTAATTTAGGTAAATAAATCAGTCAACCACTTACGACACAACACTGACTCACAACACTGACTCGCAACACTGCGCCTCAAACTGTCGCGTGGGTTTATATAGCCAAATACTCTAATTCAGCAAGGAGAAAGATATGCAAATTTCCTCAGTACATTTTGGCTCAGAGCCCCAGAGCTGTTTCAACGGTCAACCCCACGGGAACACAGTCTGCAGGTGGCCTCACACACACGATATCACCATAACAATAACCTCAAACACAGTTTGTAAGTTCATGACAGGTAAACATTAAGGGTAAATGCAGTGGCGAACCTACATTTTTGGGTCCCTGAAGCTTGAACTGTTATGGGTTACCATGGCAACCAGCAACGACTAGCCTACATCATACTTTAATAATCTTTTAATTTTTATTTCTCATACAGTAGACCCTAAATTTTTAAGCTATGTGGACTAAAGTGGCTTCTGGGGCCCCTCCGGGATTAAGGGCCCTGTAGTTTAAACTTCATTAATTTCATGGAAGATCCACCCTTAAGTAAATGCCAAATACTTGGAAACCGTGATGGTCGCATCGTCATGAGCTGCCACCATCGACCACACGACAAAATGTGGTAATGGACTTACGCTACCGAACAATTGATTCTTTTTTTTTTTTAGCACACCGGCCGTCTCCCACCGAGGCAGGGTGACCCGAAAAAGAAGAAACGAAGTTTTTTTTTTTTCTTCTTTTTCACATTTTGTAATTTGTAAAGGGGAAGGGGTTACTAGTCCCTTGATCCCAACATTTTAATCACGTCTTACGACACGCATGGCTTACTATGAATACAATATATGTAGTAATAGAATTATTTTTATCTTGCTATTATACAGCGCCTGTGGGAAAGGGGGAAAGATATGGAAGGCATTCAGGCTTAATTCAGGGAATTGGAGCACAGATCCGATTCCCTAGATCAAGAGCCCCTCACCAGCATCAAGGAACCTCCCCTGAGGGGATGTCGTAATAGAGATCATCTCCCTATTAACAGGTGGTTATGGATTCCTCCACAGGTCCCTGGGCGTGCTGACTTACGTTCTCCTAACGGGGTTCCTGCCATTTGGGGGAGAGACAGACCAAGAGACCTTTCTAGAGATATCACTGGGGGAGCTCGACTTCCCAGAAGAGCTCTTTGAGGACATTTCTGCCGAGGCCATCGACTTCATCAAGAAACTCTTAATTCGCAAACCTCAGTAAGAAAGCTTAACTAATGCTGTTTCATGAAATGAAATAGTGAAAATTTGTTGGATTTTGCAATAAGCAAATAACTGTATTGTGTTAAATTTACGCCATAAATAACTTATTGCTAGAAAACTATCGTTAATTTTAAGCCATGTACATGCTTAATTGTACACATATATGTACACGAACTACACTTAGAACAAGCATGGGTAATAATAAGACTTGGTTATACAAATTCATTCATATATTTATACTTATAAATTCATTAAGAGTTATATTAGTTTCTATACAATCAAGAGAAGGAAAGCAATACAGTGGAATCTGTTATTAAATTTTTAGATTAACTCTTAATAATTATTCGACATTTATGATGTTTTAAGTTTGTCTTTGTCTTCAGGTTGAGAATGAGTGCCCGGGAGTGCCTGGAGCACCCATGGATGAAGGCCGACCTCAGCAAAGCAAAGATTCCTAAACAGCTCAATCTCTCGGCGCCAGCATCCACACCCATCTCCACACTGTCTTCCCCTACTGCGCCGACAGCCCTGACCATCCCTGATATTTATCATTCGCACACCATCTCTACCAGTGTTCACTCTCCATCACTCATGTCGGCGTTGACGGAGATAATCACATCGTCCGGCGACGCAAACCTCTACGCCAGGTCTCGTGGCTCTCTCGGCAACACTCCTGGGGCTCTGACTCCTACTAACACAACTCCTGCCATCCTCACACCAAATAATACCACTCCCACTGTTCTCTCTCCTTTGAGCTCCTCTCCACGGGATATCGGTTTGCCGCCTGTCCATCCTCTCACTGGGCCCAAAACCTCAGCAGTCAACTCTACCTATTCTTCTACTAACTCACTCTACCGAGGAGGGTCGCGACAGTCTCTCGACCGCGCCAGGAGTCTCTCCAAGTCTCGCGAGGTGCTGTCCGAGAGGATGCAGATGTCTAATCAGAAGAAGACACTTTCGAAATCTCGTGAGCGTCTCCACGATGGACGACTTGGGCTCTCAGGGTCTCGGGAAGACTTGTGGGCTCTTAAATCCTTCTCTCATTCTGAAGAAGCTCTGACGGTATTTAGTTGGCTGAACCAGGATGATTCAGTATACAAAAGTTGTAATAATGTCTTTCTTCCCATGCTGCCCATGCTCGATGAAAACAGAGTATCAGGACGTTTGTACAAAAGTTTGGCATCCATCGACAAAATAGACGAAGTAGGGACGGAGTCAAATCAGGGTAACGACAGACAAAGTATTTTCGACTCAAGATTCTCAATTAACGATAGGGAATACAATAATCTCATTACTAAATACAACACAGCTGTTAATAGTCACCGAAAAACACCACCGCGTGACCAGACACGTGAAGGTCGTCAGAGAAGTACACTTTCAGAGGAACGACCGAAAAGCGACCAGGGTGGACAAAGTGAGAATGTCTGCAACAAGCGATGCTCCCGCCACCACCAGTCTGAATCTCAGCTGAGTCAGAAAGTTACAAAAATCAGTCGAACGGAAAGAATGAAGAGAGACGTGCAAAGAAAACGCAAAGGGAAAAAGGACAAAGAGATATCAAGTCCAGAGTCGCCTCGAATGAAACAAAGTGAATCTGATGTATTCAGACAACCTGACAAACCTGTTGATAAGCAGTCGTTCTCCAACCGAGCCCCATCACCTACCAAAAGACGGGGATCCGTCTCTCACACTGAGCAGAGAATCCAGGAGAGGCATGAAAGACAACAAGAAAAACTGGAAAGACAAGAGCGCCAAGAAAAGCTTGAAAGACGTGGCTCAGGGAAGGGAAGCGCCATAAATTCTCGAAGGCGTGACTCTGGAGAGGATAAAACTCAACCCAAAGAGAAATGCAAAAACAACAGAAACAGAAATAATGATGAGGCCATTAACAGACCAAGGAGTATATCTCCATCCAAGCAGACAAAGGTAAACAAGAGATCTACCAGCAGTGACGCGTCTCCCGCCTCTTCTCTTGAGAGTGTCAAGGAATCCACAGAGTGTAAAAGAACATCTCCTAGACGTAGTCAGTCGTCTGAAGCTAAGAAATCTCTGAGGTCATTACCTGGAGCATCAAATGATGATATCGAACACAAAGAAAAAAGATCTGACATGGATGAAGCTTATATTTCATTTGAGGAACCCGTGGACGATGGCATTTTTAGCAGAAGCGAGAGCATGGATAGCACAAATACTGTGGAATCTGATCAGACTATGAGAGCCACAGATACATCATCTGATACAATAGAGTCAACTTTTGCTCCTTGTACTGTTTCTGAGAGTGAATCTAACCGAGCAGCAGAAAGCCCTATACAGATTCAGTTGTCTGAGAAGCACGAATTAGAAATAGCGAGAAAGGCGTCGGAAATCTCAGAAAGTTCAGCCAATGATGAACCAATGATATCAGAGAGTATACAAGAACTGTGTGCCATTAATGAAGAAGAGGAAGGTGAGAAGAGCGTGTTTGTCAGATCAGTATCCACTAGTAGCGACATTGGTAGTATGTTGAGTGAAAATAGTGAAGCAGACAAAGAGGATGTCACTACTTCTAAGCCAGACAAAGAGGACATCACCTCCCCTTCCAAGCCTCACGAAAGCGACTATTTGGCTGCCTTTAATTGGAAGCTTCGAGGCAGATCACTGAGTATGCAGCCAAGCGATCCGCGTCCCTTTTCACACCTCCACCTGTGCAGGTCTAATTCCTTTAATTTAGGAATGCCTATAGGAAAAATTGTGGCATCACCGTGGGGAGATGTGTGTGAGGGAGCCATCAGTCGGGCCTTAGATATGTTCAAGCTAAAGTCAACTGACCTGACGACAGCAAGTAGAAGTTTCCAGGAGAGACGGACCTCCCTCCATAGTCAGTAATATATTCCAGGGGTCGACAAGTCTTGTACAAATAAAATGAAAACTTAAGTCATAAATGTTAAATTGTAGAAGCAGGAACTAGAAGTGACTGCATGAAGCCCCGACACTTCTTAAGGGAAGAAGCAGGGTGCTTGCTAATTCTTAAGCACAGCGCGCTTCTTATATTTTTTTTCTATTGACGTTGTGTATGATACCAATTATATTATAGTGGGTACAACCCAAACAGAGGCTATGCTACAAGTTTTAGGTGGAGCTGTGGAATAAACAGAAATGTAACTCTTGATATCCAGTGATCAAAGGTGAATGATGTTACACTACATTTGTGTTCATATACATACTAACACAAGGGTGCACAAAGCTCTCAAAATGGCTTTAGCGATATCTGTACATTGTGATTTTCTTTCAGGGCTTCAGTAAATGTTTAAAATAGGGCGTTAACTTTTCAAATCGCCTGTGAATACCTACTTTGTTAACTGGCACTTGACAAAGAGTGCCTAGAATATCTGCTACGGTATCTGACACTTAACAAAAAGTGCCTAGAATATGGTAAACAGCTTTAAGCTATGTACATAAAGAACCTGTCTTATTATAAGGTTATCGGGTATCGGTGAAGGCGCTCCTCCTTAACCTCCCCACTGAGATGGGTTTTTGAATCAGCATCTCATTCCTTTTCTTACACCCCTTGAGACTTTAACTCTCGTCTATAACTTACGCTTTTAACTCACCAGAGGAAACCGCTTTCAATTCCCATTTTCAGACACTCGCACCTTAGAAGTTAGATGATTAGTTGTCTTTTTAAAGTTGCTGGTGCAAGCCTACAATTTGACCTCGTTGACCAAACCATCAGTGCTGTCATGAAATCTTGATTCATTATTGATCAGATTAGTAATTCCATGAATATTGTATACTCTTGTGTCATATAATCGTCAATGGAGTCATGCAGGCTGTGGTACATCCCTCATGACGCAAAAGAGGCTACAGTAGACAGGCCTGGTAAAATAATTAACATCATGTAATATAATCATTGCGAGTCCTGCTAGTCAGTGAGGGTACGCGAGGTGAGATGAGAGGACGAGTTTGGTCTCAGGGTCAACAGTAGACGAGAGCTTTGTCTTAGCTAGCTCTCCTGGGCAGAAATGAAGGGCTCCTGATCAAAGGAAATAGAGCAATCTTCTCTTTTGTATAAAACACGTTTTTACCTCACATTTCACCAGCGTTTTATAACCCTTACGGGATTAGCGTTTCCTCCATAAATATATTAATCACTAGATGCAGATGGGGAACCCTCTAACACGTCTATTGGAGACTGCTAGGATGGTTTGGTGGTATACTTGGAGGGTGTTCCGGGGGTCAGCGCCCCCAGCGCCCGGTCCATGACTAGATGGTAGTATTTACTTAGCATGTACAAGGTTGCTGGCGAAGGGCTCTTGATCTCAGGAATTGGAGTTACCCCTCTCCTTCCATGGATCAAACATAATTGTCTCACATTCCCTAAGCGCTCAATAACCCTTACGGTTATGGCACTTCCAGATGAATATAATAATTTGGGGTACGAGAAAATAAGGTAAAAATGCTAAACGAATTTGTAATGAAATATTTGTCAAAATTATTGGAAATGTGTTCATGAACAACTTAAACTTCCTGACTAATACCAGATGAGCTTTCGTCGCCATTTTGAAAAAAAATGGCTGCCACTCACTGTTTTTAGTGTTTTAATAATTAAGCTTTTATTTTGGGAGATAAAAATTAATATCAGGAAATAAATGCTCACAAGTCTGTATACAGTGAAAGTAATATCAAACGAAACTCAACAAGCGAATGTCAGATAAAACGGACAAAAAAATGTGGCTGGACAAAGGCTCAGTATTATTATAGCAGCACCGTATGACCCTGGTGGTCTAGCACCTAGTTTTGATTATAATAATGAAAACCAAGCTCTAAACCCACAAGGGTTTTACAGCACTGTAAACATTCAGTGGGATATTTGATTAAAAGAGCCATGAAGCGGACCAAATCCACTATATCCAATGGCTGTCCAGTCCGGTCATACGCTCAATAAATGGACCAACTCTGCCTAAGCCTAATTGCAAGTTTGTATGGTCTAGGCTTCGTACAATACCTGTCCATTGTTATTGTGGTGGTAGAGACAAGCTTCACATGTCCAACTGTAAATTATGTTGTCATAGATTATATCCTCCAGAGAAAAAGAAAGAGGCTTTCGTTAGTCTTTTCTTTTTATGTCCGGTCGTGTTATAAATACAACGTAGTAAATGTTTAATTAGAAGTTTGTCCATATCCAACAGTCGATCGATTAAGCGGACTACGTCTGCTTAATTGAAACGTTTCAGTGTAACAGCATTTTTTCGGTAAATAAATCGGACACCTCCGTTATCGGTCCGCTTTATCGGACTTTTACTGTACAGTCATATATTTAAATTACTGTTACGACTGATCCTGCCTGGACATTGTTCCGGGGGTCAGTGACCCCGCGGTCCAGTCCTTGACCAGGTCTCCCAGTGGATCAGGGCCAGATCAACCAGGCTGTTGCTGTCGGCAGCACATAGTGCAACGTACGAATCACAGCCAGGCTGATCGGGTACTGATACTTAAGAAATTTGTTTTATATCCACATTAGCTATGCGCTTCATATATTTTTGCATCTTCTGACACTTTTTTCCACACCTGTAGGTTTATTCTAAAGTTTATGATTATTTTTTTGGCGACATATACTGATGTGTACTCGGATATCCCACTTTTTTCCAGTTACGTATCCCTACTTTTTTATTTTTACAATGGAATCTTTGAAAAGTGCTTAAGAGGACAGAAGGATTACTTTTTTCACATCAGGTTTGCTGGTGACAGGTATTCTACAACCTCCGTATCTGACATCTACTCTCGCCTCGCCTCTCCTAGCTCCTGCCTATGTAATCTCTTTCCCCAGGTACTCTGTATTATTAACTTTATCAGGTAAAACATTGTCTTAATAAAATTTCATGTAAATACAATTTTTTGTCTTAATTACATACAATTTGTTATTATAATCAAATAATAAAGCGCTAAACCGACAAGGTCATGCAGGGCTGCTGGGCAGAAAATAGTGCTGGGGCTATAAACTGCTAGGTGGAGAGGAGATCAGAGGTAAGAGTAGAAAAGGGCTGAAAGGGACGCTAGGGGGCTATGCATCAAAGTTTGTATAGTAAAGCAGTTGCTGACAAAGTGAAAAAAGTGATCGTAAGTCAAAGGCAAGAAGGGAAGATAAGGTAAGAGGTACGTCGTTGGCGTCGGAGGTAAATTCTGCGAGCTCGCTGGTAAACCAGGCAATCCACAAGAAAGAGAAGAACCAAAATAGAGGCCCGACAAACCTCACAGAGAGGAATAGGGTGTCGTTCCATGAGATACCCATGGGTAAGGCGAGTATGGCCAATGCGGAGACAGCACAGTCTCCCGGGAACAGCAACGGTGGTAAGATGGCCACAAACCTAAAAGCGGCTTAATAGAGTGAAATTTGTTATGGTGAATGCCCGACCACCATTGTTGCCAATAGCTACAAAGACGGGCAGAGATGACTAAAATAATCCCTGAACGGAAGACCTCTATAGGAAACTGGAAGGTCACGTACTGCTGATTGCACAGCAGCATCCATCTGTTCATTGCCCTGCACATCAACATAAGCAGGAACCCAACAGAAAACGACATCTTTGTTTTTGCTAGCTACATGCGAAACTAAAGCTGACTAAGAAAGACCAATGGATGAGGGGAATCAAATTGTTTAATGGCCTGTAAAGCACTGAGGGAATCTGAAGTGATCACAAATGCCGAAGGAGACATATGCAATACGGAGAAGTGCTGTGAGGATGGCATTCAACTCTGCTGTAAAAATACTAGCCGAGTCTAACAAATGACCCTGGACAACATTGTCAGGAAACACCGCCGCGAATCCAACACCGTCAGAAGATTTAGAGCCATCTGTATAAACAGCGACGGCATGAGCATGCGACTGGAAGTGACACGAACCGTTAAAACCTCCCAAGGGGAAAGGTAAAAGGCAGATGCTATATGAACATACAAGGAAGGCAACTGGAGAGAAGACTGGAGTGAAGACGAAGAGAAAATGGTCGGAGTAAGCAGGGGCATCAAACAAATAATGGGTTTCTACTAATGTCTGAGACCAACCTATACGTAGAAGGAACACGAAGGTCGTGAGCGCAGACAAAGTAACGATGACAATGAACATCACGACGATTGGATATGGAAGAAACATTCACCTCAGCATAGAGGCTTTCAACAGGGAAGGAAAGAAAGGCGCCAAGGCATAAATGATGCTGAAGGGACCTAACTTAGAGTTGTGAGAGGCCGCAGAATAGACTTGGTCGCTATAATCAAGCTTGAACAAGACTAGGATGCAATGCAAATGGAGGAGGGTCCAGCACAAGAATTCAGCCGACCATGGCAAGCTGCCTTCAAAGAGGAAATGTGAGGTTTCCATGTCAACCGGCGATCAAATAGAAGGCCAAGAAACTAGATTAGTAGTATATTACATTCTGGTTTACACGAGCCGTGTAGATACAATGAAATATCTGAGACAAGAGGACGGAGGCGTCTAGTGAAGGTAATGAAATGGGTTTTCGTACTAGAAAATTTAAAACCTTGAGAAATTGCCCAATGGGAAAGACGGTCAATCACATCCTGAAGGGATGTTAATACCAAGCGACAGTCAGCCCCTGCGTAAGCTATAGTGAAATCATCCACAAAGTGAAGACCAAATCTGCGATCGAAGAATGGAAGGTAGATCATTTATAGCCAAGAGAAAAAGGGTTGTAGGGCCCTCCTGAGCCTGAACAAAGTCTGAGGAAAGCGAGGCGCCAACACGAACACGAAAATATCTTTCAGATAAGAAAGCAGCTAGGAAGGTCAGTAGATTACCGCGGAGGCCTAAGGAGTGGGCTTGGACTAAGATGCTATACCTCCAAGTGGTGTCATATACCTTCTCAAGGTCAAAAAAGACTGCTAGGATGGAGTGCTTATTAACAAAGGCATTTTGCACATACGTATCTAAATGGAGCAAGGGGTCCAAAGTAGAACGGCCCTTGCAAAACCCACATTGGCGAGGAGAAAGACTATTGCGAGTCTCTAAATACCATATCAGACGTCTTTTCACCAATTGTTCCATCATCTTGCAATGGGACGATAGTGAGAGGTATCAGCCCCAAAGTGCCTGGTTTGCAAAACTGAAATACAGTGGCAGATTTCCATTGTTGAGGGAGAACCCCTCACATCCAAATAAAATTGAAAGGGCGCAAAAGGACTCCAAGGGCTGTAGAATGCAGGTGCTGTAGCATATGGATATGAATATTATCAGGCCCAACTTCTCTAGCTCTAAGAGAGTAAAACGTGTGTTATATGGCTCCATCCCATTAGATGAGAAATCCAAAGGCAATTGCTCCCTGGCAGACTTAGAAGCGAGAAATGAGGGACAGAGGTGAAGGCCTTGGGAGACATGGACAAGATAGTTTCCGATTTCCATGGCAACCTCAAGAGGTTTGCAACACTAACACCAGCAACCCGCAAAACGGGAGCCGGGTCCAGAGCGTACTTGCCACACAACTTCCGTACCTTCTTCCAAACTGCGCACACAGGGAAAGTAGAGTTAACAGTAGAAACATAGTCTTGCTAACAAGTGCACTTAGCATCATGTATAATGTGGCGAGCGACTGCCCTTGCTCGCTCATAATCCATAATCGATAACGCACTGCATGGGAACATGCAGGAGACCATCAAGGCACGCATGTCTGAGAATGCCTGCCTGAGATTTGAAGAATAGAATGTGATGCTGCAGTCAAAATTAAGGTCGAAAACTGGTGCACCAGCTCATCAATAGGGGACAAAGAAGGGTCCTCACATAAAGCGTAAGATGAGAGTGTAAGTCCTAATTCACTTGTCCAAATTGCCAATGGGGGCTACGAGGCGGTCGGGAATACATAGTAGAAGAAAGAATAATAGGAAAGTAATCACTGTCATGCAAATTCGGGAGAACAGACGAAGTGTAATCAAGGGCAATTGACAGGAACAGATAGGAAGATCAATGCAAAAGAGAGAGAGAGAATGTGAGAGTCAAAATAGGTGGGAGCACCAGTATTTAAAACATGAAGAGGATGAGAAGTGAGAAGAGTCTTCAACTGATCACCACGAGTCACAGTGGGACACCCCCCCCCCAGAGATGATGATGAGTGTTAAAATCACTTAACAAGATGGGCAGCGGCAGAGAAAACACCAAGAACACAACATCTGAGATACAAAATGCACGGGAAGGGGAGATATATAGAGAGCAAACTGCATGCCACCTGTGCAAATAAATACGGGCTGCAGTATAATGTAGCTAAGAATGGACAAAGACCTGTTGAAATGGTATACCAGGATGCACAAGAAGTGCACTCATTAAAAGTTTCATCAGGACAAGGATCAGAAGAATGCAACAGCACACATCCTGAAACGGGATGGATAACTGCTGAACAAACCTTAGGCTCTTGTAACCCGACACCTGCTGGGAAAAACTGAGAGAGCAACACCTGGAGCTCTCCTCGATTGCCCCTAAGGCCACGAATATTCCATTGTAAATAAGTCATTATTCACAAAGACAGGTATGCTAACAGTGAGAAGCAATAAAATCTACAGGCTAGCAGGGTCAGTGAAGTCAATTTGTGGAGGCAAAGGAAACCATGTAAGCAAGGAGGAATCAGAATGCTGTGAAGGAAAAGTGTGCTGTGAGGGTTGTGAAAAATAAGAAGAGGCACAAGGAGGTGCACAGGTGACTATTGAGAGTTTCGTCTCTGCAATATAGTTGGGGATAGCATCAAGTGTTTCAGCGGACAAGGAAGATGCTGATACTGTGACTTCAGAGAAAAGTGAGGTAGAACAAGTAGAGATCGGGGAGACTATGGATGGAACCAAAGAGGTTTGAGAGGGGAGGAGAGTATGAACCTGGAGAGATGTGCTGGCGGGGACAGAAGAGTCCTGTGGTGGAACAGGAGAGGAAGGGGGCTGGAGGGGAACTGAGGAAGAAGTTTGGGGGGAACACAAGAGGGGACCACACAAGGGGGTGAACTTTCACCTTCGTGTGAGAGTTAGAAAGGGGGCGAGAACTAGGCATCGAGGCCAAAAAGGAGAACTGTTGGAGAATTGTAAGCACCAAAGGAATACAAAGAGACCTGGGCTTAGGAGATAGGTTCAACTTCGCAGGTGACAGGTGCAAAGAAAGTGTAGGCATAGGTTCAACTTTGCAGGTGACAGGTGCGAAGTAGGTGCAAGCATGCGAGACCTCGCAGACTGAGAAACTAGTGGGCAAGAAGAGGTAGAGGTAGGAAGAGGTGGGGGTTTTAGAGGGTAAAACTGCAAAAGAATTAGGAGACAGGGGTTACCTCAGAAGACATGGCCCCAGAGGAGCTGGTAGGCAGGGGGACCATCAAGGTTGGAGGTCTAGCTACTCGAGAATAAGGAACACGAGAAAGACTCCCCTGAAGGCGGAGCGGAGAGACAGCCTTAGCATAGGTAAGGCCTTCACTTTCCTTAAGACAACTGATTTCTCGTTCATTAAGATAGACCTGACATTGGCGGGAAAAAGAAGGATGAGGTTCATTGCAATTGACACAAGTGGGGGGAAGACTGCAAGATGTATCAGCATGATCTGCAGCACCGCAGACCGGGCACTCTGCTGTTGATCTGCAGTATTTAGTGGGGTGTCTGAAGCACCACCAGCAATTTCGACACTGTTGAAGAGTAGGGACCACTTTATGGACCTCTAGGCGATAGTCCGCGATATAAACATATAATCGGAGGACGGGAGTTCATGGCAGTCAAAGGTTAAGTGGGTGATGTTACTGGGAAAGCGCCTCCACCCACGAGCAGGTAGGACACATATATCCTCTTTGAAAATTTGAAGGTCCTGAAGGTATAATTGCTCCAAAATATCGTCACCGCAAGACAGAAAAACCACACTGTACAATGGTATGCAGTAAAACTACCATAGGAACGTTATCAATGGAAGTAAGATAGCAAAGATCATGAGCTTGTTCTGCATTCTGAACTGTAATGATGTGCGCACTGCTTTGAAGAGCGTGAAAGGATATATTTTGGCCACCATGTCATAAAAGAGCTTTATCAATGCTATAGTTAGAAATAATCAGTTGGAGATGTCGGATGTAGGGAAAAAAAATTAGTCTACTGCATACTTGTAAATATGGTGCATAAAGCAAGTGGGTATCACATAGGTCGTTTCTGGGTGGAATGAGCAGACATCGAAGAACGGTCGTCAGCAAATGGTCTGGAACGTTTAGGTATAGTTTTATGGGTGGCCCGACCTGAGGTAGGTGGGCGATCCAAACATCATTCATTGCATTGTATTCAGAGAGGCCGGATGTGCAAGAGGCAGAGGCACTAAAAGAAATGAGCAAAGCCTCAGCACCTGGAGCAGGTGACAAAGCATCACCAGCAGTAGGTACAGGGGTATGGGAAAAGTCTGGAGAATGGTCCAATAACAAAACCGGGTTAGAACAGGATGTGGTAACAAAAAGGGGCCTGGGAGGAGGGGTGTTATCATGGAATGAAGACTCCATGATGGTGGTACTTCTGTCATATTATTTTAAAGAAAAAAAACAAAGAAAAAAACAAAGAGGGATTGTCACTAGAAGGGATAGAAGGGCCATAAGTTCCCCTTCTCATCCGAGAGGACCTCGAGACCGCTAGCAGTGCAGATGCAGCATGGAATACATACCATACCCTACATTTCACGCCAGTAAACCAGCACTCCAAGATAGCAACCTCACATCTATTGAGCCACCTCAGTGGACTAAAGAGAGGGCGGTCAGAAACCCGCCACAAAGCATAACTCCTTTGGTTGCCACCTCCCAGAGCAGACAAGCAGCCTCTGGAGATACACCCGTCTCCTGCAGGACACCCCGCCCCACCTCTCGGAAATCCGGGAAGGGAGCAGGGTGCCTCTAGATAATCCAGATTCCACGGCAAACTACACCACACCGGAGGAACCTCACGGAGCAGAATGAACCCCGGCACACTTCCCCCTGCCTAGAAACCCTAATACTAGAGCGGAGGACCCCAGATGCTACAAATGGGATGGGGTTGGGAGGGGAAGGAAAGGGAAAAAGGGGAGATGGGATAGGCAGGGGAGAATTGGGAGGTAATTAGGTTTCGTCTGAGGAAGGAGATCAAAGGGTCTAATTCCTCAGACCAAGAGCCTCTTCACCACATCAAGGAGCCCCCTAGAAAAGACATACAATCTACTGGTGTACATATTTCAATTGCTGCCTATTCCCTTCAAGGGAGGTTCCTTGATGCTGGTGAGGGGCTCTTGATACAAGAATCGCTATTGGTTCTGACTTTGGATCGAACCTATATGCCTTCCATTCTCCATTCACTGTATGATCCTTCAGGTTTCAGTTCTTCCTCCCGAAATCTAATAATAAAAATTTCTCATGTTTCACTTTGCCTATAATTATATTTAACTTTTTCTAGAACTGTGCATCAGTGTTAAGATAATCAGTCTCACATAATCTAAGGAAAAAACAGCCCACATTTCTGTATTTTGCCAGTGGAATATTAAACTGTTGAAAATATTGGGCAGACCTGGTCATGGGCCGGGCTGCGGGGGCGTTGACCCCCGAAACACCCTCCAGGAAAGTTGACTTAGCTGTTTTAGAAGGAAACTGTTTAGTTTCTTGGACAGTACTCGACGTATCAAAAACTTTACTGTGCACCGAGCTTTGGCCTTTTGCATTTTGTAATCAAGTTTCAAATCCCTAAAGGCAGCGGTTGACGAATAAAACACTAAAAACCGTGAACGGTCATAATTTTTTTTTCCCCAAATGTCGGTAAAAAAAAACCTCACCCCGCAACAGTCAGAATGTTTACAGTGACGTTCATTAAGTCATTCTCAGTGATTTTATTGAATATAATTTCGTTATGAATTAGTTCAGTTTTTGGACTTAAAAAAAATGACTGATTTCTCTGTGAAAGCTGCCCACCATCACGCCTCAGGCAGGGCCCACCACCACGCTTCAGGCAGGGCCCACCATCACGCCTCAGGCAGGGCCCACCACCACGCTTCAGGCAGGGCCCACCATCACGCCTCAGGCAGGGCCCACCATCACGCCTCAGGCAGGGCCCACCATCACGCCTCAGGCAGGGCCCACCACCATGCCTCAGGCAGGGCCCACCATCATGCCTCAGGCAGGGCCCACCATCACGCCTCAGGCAGGGCCCACCACCACGCCTCAGGCAGGGCCCACCACCACGCTTCAGGCAGGGCCCACCATCACGCCTCAGGCAGGGCCCACCACCACGCCTCAGGCAGGGCCCACCACCAGCTCAGCAGGCCCACACACCCTCAGGCAGGGCCCACCACCACGCTAGAGGCAGGGCCCACCACAACGCCTCCTAACACTTGTTTCAAGTTTGCTGAAACCAAATAGGTGTAAAAAAAAAATGTATTTTTAATTGTTATTCTAAGGTGATCCACGACACTGAATAATTGCACATTAAAAAGGGAACAATAAGTTAAGAGTTTTATTATCCAAAAGATTTATGGTCTGGGACTATTCACAGACTTTTCACGGAATATGAAAAAACTATGATGAGAACTTGCGAAGAAATGTTTGTAGTAATTTGCATAGAATATATCTGGCTAAAAGCCTATACTATACATCTTTTTTTTGTGAATACTTATTATAAAGGATTTACAGAAAACATGTAAAAATTGATAAAAAGATATGAGTTGATGTCGGTGAGGGAGGCTCTTGTTACCGAGAACTGGACCTGACCTTCCCTTTATTCGATCAGACTTCATTGTCTCGTGTCCCCGAAGTGCTCCAGTAACCCCTACGGGTTTAGCGCTCCCCACATCCTCGCTGACAGTAGTGCTTACAAATAGGTTACGTGTATATTCACTGACAGTCCTCAAATATTTCCACTGTCGTCTCGTTTACTCACCAAGGGTCTTTATCAGTTTATTTTCCCCAGTTGCGTATTTATATTTTTTAAGCATTTTCTTAGGGAAGCGCTAAACCCATAGGGGTCATACAGCACATAGAGAATGGGAGGTAAAGTTCTGTTAAGTCTTTAGTTTAAGATATAAACCAACCAGTACTTAGGCCTAGCTTAATTTTTTTTTTTAAATCACTCAACACACTGAGTGAACTCTGAATATATATCATTGTACAAAGTTTAAAAGATGAACTACCACACCCTCGGTTCACACCCTCGGCTCACACCCTCGGCTCACACCCTCGGCTCACACCCTCGGCTCACACCCTCGGCTCACACCCTCGGCTCATACCCTCGGCTCACACCCTCGGCTCACACCGTATAAGGGTACAATACATTATCCTTGTTAGTCATACTATCAAAAATGATGAGAGGGTCTAGACTTGTAATTTGAACAGTTATCAGACAGAGGGATCAAGAGCGATTAATGTAGGCGCTGCCATTTTGGTCCAGAGGTGCACTAAATACAGACTCAAGTGATGGTCAGGACGGTGTCTCAAAGGCAGGTGTGTGCAGCTGACACTAATATATATTGTTTTAACGTCATAAATTCACAGGTTTTTCTCGGATATCTTTACCAAGCACGAACATTTCCAGAGGTCCGGAACTTTTCCTGAGCACTGGCATTTTGCTCATTTTCTAATGCATTTGTTGTTTGATAGTCATATTATACACTCCATACCCATCCTACTGGGCACAGCAGTTTTCCCTTGTAACAGAGACCATTCAAGGGGGTACCTTGATGCTGACGAAGGGCTCTTAATCCTAGAAATTTGGGCTACGCTTCCAGTCTTCAATTAATCAAACATGGGTACTTCCAATTCTACAAATACTGTCTGACCTCTATGGATTTAGCGCTTCCCTATTAATAAATAATAATTAGACGTGTTTCTGTACCGGTCACCTGTACATCAATGCACGCAAAAGGCTTATGACATTTGTATCTTAAAACCCTCCGAGGAACTGCAGATCAGCTGTGTCAAGAGGCCTAGCTGTGGCTCGGCCCTCTCGTGGGGCCTAGCTGTGGCTCGGCCCTCTCGTGGGGCCTAGCTGTGGCTCGGCCCTCTCGTGAGGCCTAGCTGTGGCTCGGCCCTCTCGTGGGGGCCCAGCTGTGGCTCGGCCCTCTCGTGGGGCCTAGCTGTGGCTCGGCCCTCTCGTGGGGGCCTAGCTGTGGCTCGGCCCTCTCGTGGGGCCTAGCTGTGGCTCGGCCTCTCGTGGGGCCTAGCTGTGGCTCGCCTTCGTGGGCCTACTGTGGCTCGGCCCTCCGTGGGCCTAGCTGTGGCTCGGCCCTCTCGTGGGGCCTAGCTGTGGCTCGGCCTCTTTGTGGGGCCTAGCTGTGGCTCGGCCCTCTGTGGGGCCCCAGCTGTGGCTCGGCCCTCTCGTGGGGCCTAGCTGTGGCTCGGCCCCCTCGTGGGCCTAGCTGTGGCTCGGCCCTCTCGTGGGGCCTAGCTGTGGCTCGGCCCTCTCGTGGGGCCTAGCTGTGGGTCGGCCTCTCGTGGGGCCTAGCTGTGGCTCGGCCCTCTCGTGGGGCCTAGCTGTGGCTCGGCCCTCTCGTGGGGCCTAGCTGTGGCTTTGGCCCTCTCGTGGGGCCTAGCTGTGGCTCGGGCCCTCTCGTGGGCCTAGCTGTTGCTCGGCCCTCTCGTGGGGCCTAGCTGTGGCTCGGCCCTCTCGTGGGCCTAGCTGTGGCTCGGCCCTCTCGTGGGGCCTAGCTGTGGCTCGGCCCTCTCGTGGGCCTAGCTGTGGCTCGGCCCTCTCGTGGGGCCTAGCTGTGGCTCGGCCCTCTCGTGGGGCCTAGCTGTGGCTCGGCCCTCTCGTGGGGCCTAGCTGTGGCTCGGCCCTCTCGTGGGGCCTAGCTGTGGCTCGGCCCTCTCGTGGGGCTAGCTGTGGCTCGCCCTCCGTGGGCCTAGCTGTGGCTCGGCCCTCTCGTGGGGCCTAGCTGTGGCTCGGCCCTCTCGTGGGGCCTAGCTGTGGCTCGGCCCTCTCGGGGGGCCCAGCTGTGGCTCGGCCCTCTCGTGGGGCCTAGCTGTGGCTCGGCCCTCTCGTGGGGGCCCAGCTGTGGCTCGGCCCTCTCGTGGGGCCTAGCTGTGGCTCGGCCCTCTCGTGGGGCCTAGCTGTGGCTCGGGCCCCCTCGTGGGGCCTAGCTGTGGCTCGGCCCTCTCGTGGGGCCTAGCTGTGGCTCGGCCCTCTCGTGGGGCCTAGCTGTGGGGTCGGCCCTCCGTGGGGGCCCAGCTGTGGCTCGGCCCTCTCGTGGGGCCTAGCTTGGGGTCGGCCCTCTCGTGGGGCCTAGCTGTGGGCTCCCGGCCCCCTCGTGGGGCCTAGCTGTGGCTCGGCCCTCTCGTGGGGCCTAGCTGTGGCTCGGCCCTCTCGTGGGGCCTAGCTGTGGCTCGGCCCTCTCGTGGGGCCTAGCTGTGGCTCGGCCCTCTCGTGGGGCCTAGCTGTGGCTCGGCCCTCTCGTGGGGCCTAGTGTGGGTCGGCCCTCTCGTGGGGCCTAGCTGTGGCTCGGCCCTCTGGGCTAGCTGTGGTCGGCCTCTCGGGGGTAGCTGTGCTTTGGCCCTCTCGTGGGGCCCAGCTGTGGCTCGGCCCTCTCGTGGGGCCTAGCTGTGGCTCGGCCCTCTCGTGGGGCCTAGCTGTGGCTCGGCCCTCTCGTGGGGCCTAGCTGTGGCTCGGCCCTCTCGTGGGGCCTAGCTGTGGCTCCCGGGCCCCCTCGTGGGGCTAGCGTGGCTCGGCCCTCTCGTGGGGCCTAGCTGTGGCTCGGCCCTCTCGTGGGGCCTAGCTGTGGCTCGGCCCTCTCGTGGGGCCTAGCTGTGGCTCGGCCCTCTCGTGGGGCCTAGCTGTGGCTCGGCCCTCTCGTGGGGCCTAGCTGTGGCTTTTGGCCCTCTCGTGGGGCCTAGCTGTGGCTCGGCCCTCTCGTGGGGCCTAGCTGTGGCTCGGCCCTCTCGTGGGGCCTAGCTGTGGCTCGGCCCTCTCGTGGGGCCTAGCTTGGCTCGGCCCTCTCGTGGGGCCTAGCTGTGGCTCGGCCCTCTCGTGGGGCCTAGCTGTGGCTCGGCCCTCTCGTGGGGCCTAGCTGTGGCTCGGCCCTCTCGTGGGGGCCCAGTTGGCTGGCCCTCGGGGGCCCAGCTGTGGTCGGGGCCCCCTCGTGGGGGCCTAGCTGTGGCCGGCCCCCTGTGGGCCTTCTTGGTCGCCCCCTCGTGGGGCCTAGCTGTGGGTCGGGCCCCTCGGGGGCCTAGCTGTGGTCGGCCCTTCGTGGGGCCTAGCTGTGGCTGGGCCCCCTCGTGGGGCCTGCGTGGCTCGGGCCCCCCGTGGGGGCCCAGCTGTGGGTCGGGCCCCCTTGGGGCCTAGCTGGGCCCGGCCCTCTCGGGGGCCCAGCTGTGGCTCGGCCCTCTCGTGGGGCTGCTTTTGGCTCGGCCCCTCGTGGGCTAGCTGTGGCTCGGCCCTCTTTGGGGCCTACTGTGGCTCGGCCCTCTCGTGGGGCCTACTGTGGCTCGGGGCCCCCTCGTGGGGCCTAGCTGGGCTCCCCTCTCGGGGGCCTGCTGTGGGTCGGCCCTCTCGTGGGCCTGTGTGGCTCGGGGCCTCTCGTGGGGCCCAGCTGTGGCTCGGCCCTTCGTGGGGCCTAGCTGTGGCTCGGCCCCCTCGTGGGGGCCTTTTTCGTGGCTCGGCCCTCTCGTGGGGCCTTGCTTGGCTCGGCCTCTCGTGGGGGCCCTTTCTGTGGCTCGGCCCTCTGTGGGGGCCTTGCTGTGGCTCGGGCCCCCTCGTGGGGGGGCCTTTCGGGCTCGGCCCTCTCGTGGGGCCCTTTCGTGGCTGGCCCCCTTGTGGGGGCCTTGCTGGGTCGGCCCTCTCGTGGGGCTTGCTGTGGCTCCGCCCCTTCGTGAGGCCTTGCTGTGGCTCCGCCCTCTCGTGGGCCTTGCTGGGCTCCCCCTCCGTGATGCCTTCTGTGGTCCGCCCCCCTCGTGAGGCCTTGCTGTGGCTCCCCCCCCTTTGTGAGGCCTTGCTGTGGCTCCGCCCTCTCGTGAGGCCTTGCTGTGGCTCCGCCCTCTGGAGGCCTTGATGTGGCTCCGCCCTCTCGTGAGGCCTTGCTGTGGCTCCGCCCTCTCGTGAGGCCTTGCTGTGGCTCCGCCCTCTCGTGAGGCCTTGCTGTGGCTCCGCCCTCTCGTGAGGCCTTGCTGTGGCTCCGCCCTCTCGTGAGGCCTTGCTGTGGCTCCGCCCTCTCGTGAGGCCTTGCTGTGGCTCCGCCCTCTCGTGAGGCCTTGCTGTGGCTCCGCCCTCTCGTGAGGCCTTGCTGCGGCTCCGCCCTCTCGTGAGGCCTTGCTGCGGCTCCGC